TATTTAACACTGATTTATTATTTCCTCCTGAGAAAGAAATACATTCTTTAGCCTGGGAAAAGGTGGTGATTCTTGAGGAGTGAAAGTGCCACACCAGCAGGAAAGCCAGGCATAACTGCAACACCCTTCTGCTAAGTTCCCAGATGGGAGATGTGACCAGGAAAAACACAGTGTCCTGCTGTGTTTGCCAGGAAATCACCTGCTTGCCAGGGAGGCATTTCTCACCTCTCTAGAACACCACAGGGAGCGGAGGTGGTCTTGCCAGGAGCTCAACACCACTCGCAGTAGGGATGAGACCCAGTAAGGCACACTTTTTTCCCCAGAATTTTTATACTTACACATAACATCCTGTGCTCATTATGTCCTTGGTAACTTCTTCAGTCATAACATCAAATTTCACTGTAGGATGGGATGTGCTTTCACCGTGAGTGTCAGTGTTTTCTGGCAGAAGGGAGTTTATAAACATGTTATGACATTTTTCTTCATCTGATTTAGGCTGAGATATCCCAGATGCTTAAGGGCAGAAGTAAACTAGGATGCACACATACATTTCCTCTGCCAGCAGTGCCCATATTTTGCAGGGGCATGAATAAATAGACATTTCTAGATAAGAAGTAGAAAATTGTTTCCTCTATCTGAAGCAATTTAAAGTGCTCCTTTTATGCTATGCTCCCAGCCTTCCTTATCATTTGATGGTGGTGTTATCATTGTTTTAGTGCTGATGGTTGAAACAGAAGAGAAAACCAAATTTTTAATTTTTTACTTCTTCAGTAATCCTTCAAAATATTGCTCTGGGTTAAAAGACAAAGTTAGTGGGATTGACAGGCTAACTTGCTGGTACAACAGCAAGAAACCAATTTAGGCTAGGCTAGGTTAGGTTTAGGCTAGGGTAGGTTAGGTTGGGCGAGGCCAGGCTGGGTGAGGAGCCGGGCAAATGGAGAGGAGATATTTGGGGTCAGAAACTCCTTTTTCAGGAAGTGCAGTGTTGTTCCTGCTTAGTGCTACAAACAGTGACGTCGTGGGGTGGAGGAAGAGGAAAGAGGAGGGGTGATCTCCTAACAAACAGCTGTTGCAGCTGTGGAGAGGAAAAAGGAGAAAGATCAGGAGCAGCAGCAGCACAGCAGCAACCCGTAACAGTGCAACAGGTAATGTCTTTTGAGCGCAGGTGACCTCAAATGCGAAAAGGAAGCGGGGGGGG